GACATCGATGTGCAGAATTCAGTTGGTGACTGGAAACCCAACAAGTCAGCACCCAGACCAAAAGCCTGTCAGGGTGGTGACCAGAGCCCCAGCTCAGCTCTGCAGGAACAGCCTGTTTCGAGGGAAAACCCCAAACCACCCCCAAAGGGCTGGAAGAACTGACTGTACCTCACCTCGAGAACGCCTTTTCTAACTAAATGAGTGCCTTCTATAAATGCAAATTGCTCCACACTCCAGTGCCGGCGCTGAAGAAAACCGAGAGGCAGCACCCGGAGCAGAGTTCCACATGTCCACCCCGAGAATTCCAAGGGAACAGGGAGACAGAGCACTTGTACAACCACTTTCACGTGCCTACAGACCCCTCTCGGCTTTGCTACATCATTAAAAGCGACGGATTTGGCCACTGCACAGAGCGAGACTTTGTCCAGAGCTGCAGCAGCTGCAGCGCGTGGGAGGGATGGGATAATCACAAAAAAAGGCATTGTCTCCTTAAAAAATAAATTAATAAATAAACAAACCCCAACGAAACCTGCCTGGGTTTCCCAGCAGAAACCTTGCCCTGCTCTCTCAAGTGTGTGTGAGCTCCCCAGCACGGCAGATCAGAGCTGGCTCCGTGTTTACCTTGGACAGCTCAGCCCGGCCCGGGCTTGCACAAGAACAGGGATCCTTTGTGCCCGTGGGTCCCTCACCTCTGCCTTCCCCTGCCTGAGCTGCAGCCCTTCTTTCAAAGAATCAACACCCTGCACGTTCCAGCTCCAGCACCTCGGGTGTTGCTCTCACCCAGCCGGTGTCTGGTGATGCCCAAGGCAGTGGCACGTGGAGCGTCTTTGGTGGTTCGGAAACAACCGGTTTGGTTCTGGGTTTTTGTTGTCGATGGGATGGCAACACAGGACAGGAGGGAACAGCCTCAAATTGTGCCAGGGGAGGTCCAGGCGTGAAAATCAGGAAGGGGTGGTCAGGGAGGTTTGGAGTCCCCAGCCCTGGAGGTGCCCAAGGAAGGCCTGGCCGTGGCACTCAGAGCTCGGGGCTGGGGGACAAGGTGGGGATGGGGCACAGGGGGACTCTGTGACCCTGGAGGGCTTTTCCAACCTCTGGGATTCTGGGATTCACCAGAGCCATCAGGAGGTGGTCACAGATAAAGCCTAACCCACCTATCTCGTGGTTTGGAAACGTGCAGACTCAGGATCCAAACCCTGCACCTGGGCAAGTTAAAAACCACCACCTGGAGCTTGAGAAATCACCATTTCTGATTTGAGAGAAACTCACTCTTAACTTGAACTTCCAACTGCAAGCATCGACCCCCGTGCTAGGAGGGCTCAGCCCTGATTTTGATGCATTTCTTTAATATCCCTCAGACATTCAAAACCACCATTGGGTCGCCAGGAATTTCTTTTTTTTATCAAATTATTTAATAAAAACCCTGCTGGAGACACTGGGAACCACCGTGGCTCTGTATCATCATCATCATTAGTGTTTCTCATTTTTAAAAGCAGATTAGCATTCCTGATTTAACTAAGCTGTTAAATACTGTTTTGCATATTATCTACATCTAAGGATGAACTGGGGATGTACAAAGAGATATTCTGATCTCTTCCCCAGCCAGCAGGAACAAGTAAATGAGTAACTGTCTCATCTGTAAGTATAAATTTCACTGCAGGGGGACGCATGTGTGTTTTACACACACACACAAACACAAAACTGCAGCGTTTGACTACGTTTTTATTTAATTCCTCCTCGGTCAAATGGCCACATTTGCCACTACAACACACCCCACTTGGGAAAATCCAGCTAAAACAGGGGATTTTATTAAAACTGCCCAGGTTTGAAATACAAACACCGACTTTTTACCCTCACGTAGGTTCCAAGAACTCACAGAAAACTCAGCCACGTGCAACTTTTGATAACACCTGAAGACACACAAGCAAACATTTCTTCACTGTGTTTGGAAACATCACCATTAATTGGATTTTAATTCCCTGTTTTCGTTCCAGGGCAGGTGGGGTTGGGAGACAGCACCCACTGGGCAGCTTTTTGGAGTTTGGGGGGGGGGTGAGAGGGGTCATTTTTTCTTCCAAGGTAAGACTGCAAGGCCCATCAGAGGGAGCTCAAACACAGCTGCCACTGAAAGGCCTCAAAATTAAGTGACTTTAACTATGAATTTAAAAAAAAAACCAAACCAATCCTGGAAAGCTGTGAAAAATCACCAGGTGAACAAGAACCACCCTTAAAATGCAGTTCACAAAATGCCTTTAAAAATCTTACGGTTTTTTAGCATTTCAAGAGCCACGTATGGAAGAGCTCAAGCGCTCTCTTCGTTAGTTGCACGTTAATGTTTTGTTAATTACGATTTTAAAGGGCAGCAGCAGCCCTGTGTGAGTAAATAGATGCATCAAGCACCGCTGGGGCTGAGCTACACCAGGAACTGAGAGTAAACAAGCCCAGAAATCAGTCCTGAAATTCCAAGCTTCACATAAAAAAAAATTTAAAAAATAAAAAAAAATTAAAAAAGCAAGGAGCAGAAGCACAAACAAAATCCAGGAGTCAGTGTCACGTAATGAAAAACAAAAAATAAAAGAAATCACTCCCCCTCTCCTCTCCTCTCCTCACCCACTTTGTTACTATGGGACTGGCAGAAAGCTCTGGATTATAAACACCAAGGTCCCACTCACAAGACAATTAAGCAGCTCCAGAGCTTCCATCGACCACCCACCTCCGCGCTCTGCGCAAGGTCTGCGCCTCCCAGGGAAGCTGAAATGCCAAAAATCCACTGTGCCAGCTGAAAAACACGACTTGGGTGCTCCAGAGAGCAGGGGCAGCCTTTGGAAACTGGAGCTGTTTGTTTCTCAAAGGAACCCTTGGTTATTTTGGCCCCCTCAGCGAGCGGCGAGGGCAATAAAGGAGGAGTTAATACCTCGCTCAGGTTTGTCCTGGGCAGGGGAGGTGGATCACAGCTTACAAATCCCACACGGAATCAAGAGCAGAAACAGGGGGAAGATGACCATGACAGAGAGGAAGCTCAGAAACAGCGTGTGCAGGCACAAGAGATGGAGGAACAGTAAATTTCTGCCTCTGCTCCCACCAGTAACCAACAATAAACCAGACGAGATGGTAAACACTGCAAAAAGACAATTACTAATAATGAAAAGGCAGCAGAGATTTTGGGCCACTTCCACCAACTGAGTAAGGCGTTTTCACACTGACAGCAAAGCGCTGGTTGCCAAATGGAAATGAGAGCAAACAGCAAAGTTGTGCTTAACCCCTCTCTGCTTTTAGGCTGCATTTTAAACCCAGATGAAATCATGGAATTTAGAAGAGAAAGCCTACAAAGAAGACATTTTACTCAGCTCTTTTGGTCAGTGTTTCCATCACTTCAGTACCCAGAATCCTCAGAAAAGTTATTCATCTTGGGTCCTCTCCTCAAAACCAGGTTCTTGAAAGCACGACGGGTTTCCATGTGCAAAACCCGGGTCAGGAGCACCCGGATTTGGGAGCAACTGAACCGGGATTCTGAGTTATCCTGCAGAAGGTGAATGCTAAATGTGTGAGTGAACTGAAGGACAGCCCAGAACTCCCTGAGGAACAGCAAGGACTGACCACCAAAGGTGAAATCCCGGGATGCTGAGCCAGGCAGGTGTGCAGAGCTGGGAGAAACAGGACGACTCCAGGCACTGCAAACAAACATCTCCAAATGATCCTCACTCTGCTCCCAACCAACTCCAACAGGAACTCCAAGAGCATCCTCTGGGAAAGACCAACATCCAGGAGAGCCTGAGCTGCGGCCTCACACCTTCCCAGGCAGGAGCTGACAGGGGCAGGTGCTTCTCCTTCGCACCCAACCAGCAGCAGAACCGATTCAGAACAAATATTTACCCTCTCTCGACACGGAGGAATAAAAGGAAAACATTCTACCACAAAACCAGCCGCGTTTTTTTGCGTCCCTGCAAAGCTTCAGCCGCCAAGCAGGCTCCTGAATTTCCTTTAGGAACGGTTAAAAGCCAGAAACGTTGACACGAGCAAGAGCGGGCACAGAAGGGCCCCGACATCCCAGAAATCCGCACCAGAAGAGGCGTCCTGTGCCCCGGGGAAGGCGCATTCGTTACGCCGGGAACTGCTGCTGCTGATGGGCTTTTGCGGAGACATCACAAGCCAGCCGAGGGAGGGTTTTGGAAGTGCAGCGATTTGCACCTACGACAACCCCGAGTGGAAGGGGGAGCAACGCGGGCGGCACCGAGCCCCGGCAGCCCCAGGCGCCCGGGGGGGGCTCCGTGATGTGCAACGAGCGGCTGGGGGATGCTCCGAGGACGGGGGGTGCAGGGCTGGGACCCCCCCACATCAGCCCGGGGAGGAACGCGGAGCCCACCGTGGCCTGCAGCGCAGGCACCAGGACACCTGCCCGGCCCCGGGACCCCCCTCAGCCCGCGGGGAAGGAACGGAGCTCCCCCCTCACAGCCGGGGCCTGTCCCGAGGTGGCACACCGGGACCCTCCTCAGCCCTGGGCCTGTCCTGAGGGGATGAAACCGGCATTCCCGGGAAGCGGGACCCCCCCCACACACACACCGCCTCATCCCCCTGGCAGGGTCCCCCCGCCGCAGCCCAGCCCAGCCTGGCCCAACCCGGCCCGGCACAGCGGGGCCCGCTCCGCGATGCCGCGACCCTCCGGCCTGGGGGGGAAAGAGACACCGGAGCGCCTCCCCCCGCGGCAGGTGCCGGGCTCCGGAGGATGCTGCGGGCGGGCCCGGCGCGGCCGAGCCGGGATGGAGGAGGCCGAGGCGGGGGGTTTGGGGAAGGGGGTTGTTACCGTGAGGGGGCGGCCCCCTCAGCCCCCTCCCGGGCGCTGCCCGCCCGCCAGGGGCGCTGCCCGCCCCGCCCGCCGCCGCTGCCCCCGGCCCGGGGGCTCCCGTGAGGAGGGGGTGGTGGGGACGCCGCCCTCACAAACCCCCTCCCCAACGCCCGCCCGCCCTCTCCCGCCTCAACCGGGGCGGCCCGCGCCGCAGCCTCACCCGGTGCGCGCGGGTCAGGCTCAGGTCCTTCATGACCTCCTCGAAGGCCGCCGTCTCCTCCGCCTGCTTCTGGTTGTGCAGCGCGATCTTCTCGCTGAATTTCCGCGGGTTGTTCTGAGGCCGCCATCTTCCCTGTCCGCATCCCCCTCCCCGCCGGCCGAGGGGGCGGCGCGCATGCGCCTGCGCCGCGCGGGGAAAGGCGGGAGCGGGCCGGGGGAAGGAAAGCGGGGGCGGGCGCAGCAGTGCGCGGCGGCGGAGGCGGGGCGGGAGGGGGCGGTGAGGGGGCGGGGGCGCGTGCGCGGGGGGGGGGCGAGGGAGGGGAGGGGACTGCGTGAGGGGGAGCGGGACACGGGACATGGGAACGGTAACAGGGACTGTCACCGTCAGTGTCACCGTCCCTGGCACCGTCAGTGTCACCGTCAGTGTCCTGGTCCCTGGCACTGTCCCCATCCATCTACCGATCCATGTCCCCATCCATGTCCCCATCCGTGTCCCAGTCCTTGGCACTGTCCCCATCCATGTCCCGATCCGTGTCCCGGTCCCTGGCACTGACCCCATCCATGTCCCCATCCGTGTCCCAGTCCTTGGCACTGTCCCCAACCATGTCCCGATCCATGTCCCGGTCCTTGGCACTGACCCCATCCGTGTCCCGATCCCTGTCCTGGTCCCTGGCGCTGTCCCCATCCATGTCCCGATCCCAGTTCTCATCCCTGTCACTGTCTGTCCTGATCCGTGTCCTGATCCCCTGGCACTGTCCCGATCCCTGTCCTGTCCCTGTCCCTGTCCCTGTGCCAGTCCTGATCCCTCTCCTGACCCCTGTCCCAATCCCTGTCCTGATCCTGATCCCAGTCCCTGTCACTGTCCCTGTGCCAGTCCTGATCCCTATCCTTGTCTTGGTCCTGATCCCAGTCCCTGTCCCCATCTCCATCCCTGTCCCCATTCCTGTTCCTCTCCCCGTCCTCATCCCCGTTCTTTTTAACAGAGAGAAAGTGCACACTTGGCTTTTTCAGTGCAGCTCTGCCCCTGAAAGGTGCATGTGGCAGTCCCCAAGTCCCTATTCCAGTCCCCAAGTCCCTGTTCCAGTCCCCAAATCCCATCAGGGCTGAATTATCCTACCAGAGAAATTGGCCCCCTGCTCTCCCTTCCACTCTCACCTTCATGGCCTTGGTTCAGTCAGTTCAACTGAATTAATTGCACATTTCTAAGCATTCTCCACCCCTGTTGTAATTATCCACCACTCCAGGGCTGGGATGCACCGTGGAATCCTCGCTCCAGGACCAGGAGAATTCCAGCTGCCAACCTGCACTTCAGAGTTTACAACAGGGGCTGAGATACCATCAGGGGAAGCAGAGCCGGGTCTGACACCATCCCTGGCAGGCTCAGCCCCCCCTCCCTCCCCCCTGACAGATGTTAATCCAACCACTTCTTGCATTTTTCACCGGGAATAAACACCCGGGCAGGTCCATCCCTAGAAACCCCCTCTGGCTGCGTGCACATGACCTGCACGATCGGCCTGGCGGGCTAAAAGCACATAAATCACCAAGATTTAACACCCAGATACCGACTCTCCACATTGTTCCTGCTCCAGGGGCGAGACAATGATAAATAAGGGGTTGAGTTCTCCTGGATTTCCTCCCATCCTGGCGATATCCAGGCCCAGCTGCCACTCTGCCTCTTCCACAGCACCACCAGATTAAGTGCCTACGATGGAACTTGATAAATTTTCCCCCTCCTGGATGTGCTGAGGTGGGAGCAGAGTGAAATCCCCTCTCCTGGTTCCAGGGAAGGAATGCAGATGGCCAGGGGGGTGAGGGCTGGGGGAGGAGAAGGGGAATTGAGGCTTCCTCCCTCCAGAAACTCCCAGTTCTCCTTGTTTGCCTCCTGCAGCTTTATCAGCTCGAATTCCAGCCTGACCCCCACCCTGCTTCCCTCCTGGAACTCCCCCTTTTACCCCAAACTTCTCCACAAGGGCCCTGGTGGTGCTGGAATTCCTCAGCCCCTCCTGAGCTCCAGTTTTGGGGGCTGGGGGTGGATCTGGAGGGGGGGCCCTGCAGAGGATGTAAAATAAACCCCCAGGGCATGATGAAGGCACTGGCAGGGAGGTTGCAGTGCCAGCTTTGCCCCTTCATCCCCCACACACCCCGGGAGGAGATAATGCCGTGCCTTGGAAAACCTGCTGGGCTCTCTGAGCCCCCCCAAACCTCCCCCTTCTCCTCCCAAATAACCCCAAATCCCCTTAAACCCCTCCTAAAGCCCCCCCCAAACTCCCCATGACCCCCCTAAAACTCCCTTCAACACCCCTCAGACCCCTCCAACACCCCAAAACCTCCTCCAACCCCCCCAAAACCCCTCCCAAGATCCTCTCCCCAGCCTTCCAGACGTGTTAGGGAAGAGTTTCTTGGAGTGGAGACTCCGGAGCAAACCAAGAGCCACCAGAGGCCCCGGGATGGTCCATCCACAGCTGCTTTTGCTGCCAAAAACCTCCTCCCTGAGCAACCTGTGGCTGCTGGGCCGGGGCAGGAGGCTGGAAAGGAGAAGCCTGTGGTTACTCATCCCTTGTTTTTCGTCCTCCAGCTCGCTGGGAACGGCCCTGGCAGAGGGGATCTGGCTCTGCCGTGTTTCCCCCCGAGGTCTGAGGGGAAGGTGTGAGGCTGAAGGGCTCACACCAAGCAGACAGCACAGGGATCCACAAAAGAGCTGAACAGTTTATATATTTTTTTTTCCTCTTTGCCTGCAGACAGGGAGGTTTTGATCTCTCGCACTTCCCACTCCACGTTCCCTTTATCCTCGGGCAGGAATATCCTCTGAAGTCCACAGAGCCCCCCCCAGTTCCAGCAGGGAAACACCCTCCTGTTCCCCTTGGAATTTGGGATGATTTTCTCTCATTTCAGGCCTCCTTGTTCCAAAAATAAAAGCACCTGAACCTCCATCCCTGCTCCAAACCCACCACCAGCCCAGGCAAACCCACTCACACACAGGGCTGGTTCTGCTCCCTTCTCATCCCTCCCTTTACCATTCCCTGGGAATCCTGAAGTTCCACAGGGCAAGAGAGCACCTTTATGGTCCCTCCCAACCCAGAGCATTCCAGGATTCTGGGACACTCCCCTGGTTCACGTCCCAGAGCAAAGCCAAGCTCTGCTGTGGCCAGGCCTTAGGACAGGGGTTTAGGACAAGCTCAAAGCCCGATTATTAACAAGGTTTTAACAGGAAATAAATGGGAGAACTCGGGGTGGGTCGGGGTTTTTTTCTGCAGTTCCAGGTAATTCCTGCCTGAAATCCTGATGACCATCTGAACACATTGAGGCACCCCCTGAATTTCCCACCCCACACAAACAAGGGGTTACACCTCGGTGGGGAGATGGGGGGGCAAAGCTTTGCTGCCAGCAAACCTCCAGGCTCTGCAGGGGCCTCTTGGAGAGCGGCAGAGCCAGAGTCACCCACAGGGGCTCTAATTGCTGTCCTGGAAAAGCCTCGGAAGGAAGGGAACAACTTGTTTTTGCCTGTGGAAAGGGGAGGTTCTCCCCTGCTGGAGAGCTGGCCCGGGGTCAGCTTTGATGGTCGCTCATGGGACAGCATTTCTAGGTTAACAATACCACAAAAACAGGGAAAGAGCATGGAAATCATGGAATCCCAGAACCCAAAAAATCCCCAAACCCGGGTTTGGGTTGGCAGGACCTGAAAGATCACCCAGTGCCAGGGGCAGGGACACCTCCCACTCCACCAGGTGCTCCTTTCATCCAAGCTGGGCCCCGACACTTCCAGGGATGGGGCAGCCACAGCTCCTCTGTCCCCCACCCAGGGAACACCAAGCACACACTTCTGGCAGCAGGAACTTCTTCCTCACCTTCAAACCCTTTCCCAGAGCGTGAAAAATTACACAGCCCCAGGGCACCTCGGGGTAAAACTCCTCCCTCTCCCAAACCTGGGTGAAATCCAAACATTCCTTCCAAATCCAGCTGCAAACCGCTGTCCTGGAGGCACCAGCAGCGCTGAATGCCAGCACTGAGGCTGCCAGGGGGTGAATCTGCACCCTGTGAGGAGGGTCAGGACCCCGGGCCACGGCAGGGGGCTGAATTTAAAGCCCATCATTGCCAACTTTGCAGCCCCAGATCAGCAGCCTGAGTGCAAAACATCAGATAACCACGTGTATAAAACACCCCTTGGCTCGTTTTTCCAAGCACTGTGACTGGCAGCCATCAAGGACACCAAGGCATAAATTCTGCCCTGGCTGCTCCAGGGTTAACTGGAGCAAGGGGTAAATTCTGCCCTGCTGCAGCTCCAGTGGCTCCCAAGGCCCTGCTCCAGCTCGGGCTTGGGGCAGCCAGCACAGCCTGGCCAGCAGCCTGCACAAACAACCAAAAAAGTAAAGATTTTCATTTTTTAAGAAGCCATGTAAACCAGTTCTAGCTAATTACAGGGGCCTGGGTGTGAAACAGCAACTGCAAAGCCTCAGGGGCCGAGCCAAGGAGCTTTAATTTCTCTCTCTACAGCTTAGAAAACCTTCTGGAAACTTTTGCTCCGACAGCTTTTCTGCTTTCATGGAATCCCAGGATGGTTTGGGTGGGAAGGGAACTCAAAGCTCATCCAGTGCCACCCCCTGCCACGGACAGGGACACCTCCCACTATCCCAGGTTGCTCCAACCTGGCCTTGGACACTTCCAGGGATGGGGACACCCTCTACTTCATCCTCAGCCTTTGTCTTACAGCCTGAGGCTGCTCTGAGGTTGCCCAGCTGAAGCAGCAGCTCTGGTTAAAAAAAAACCCTCAGAGGGGAGGTGTTTGTGTGATATTTCTACGATCTCAGGTGAAATTCAGGAGAGCTGAGCCCTCCTTGGAAGGCAAGACCAGCCAGCTCTGCTCCCTCCGTCTCCTGACGTGCCAACACGCCCAGGCTGTGAATTTATCCAGCCACATCCACTTTTCCTGCTCCTCCAGCCACAAGTGATGAAATCCCATTCACTTCTGCGAGCAACTGGAAGATTTATTGTAAATAAAGTTCTGCACATTACACAACTGGCTAAAAATCATAATTAGAGCTGCGCTGGGGAACATGTTTTATTTATCCTGACAGCAGTCTGGCTCCAATAATCCTCCCCTGATGGATGTCCCGAAAAGTTTGCGGAGTTTCAGCAACTCCAGACCTTATCAGAGACGTGGAAGTGGGAATGCCTGGCAGGGTTTGATGTGGCTTCTCGAGGTCCCCTCACAGCCCTGTTTTCCACAGCAGCAGTTTTCAATCAGCCCTGGGAGCTGCTGGGAGCGTCTTCGCTCCGCGGGAACCCAAGGCAGGGAAGTTTTCCACTGCTGTTACGGCTTCCAGGGCTGCAGCACAAGAGCTGGGCCGTGTCTGGGTGAATTAGCCGGGTTCTAGGATAGGGAGAAGTGACAGTGGGATTGGGAGCCGACAGACCCTCTGGAAAAGGGTCAGTGACACCATTAATGGGATGCAGACACTCCCGATCTCGAGCTGCTCCGCACCCTGCCAAGACTTCCAGGGCTTCCTTTCTGCTTTTAAGCCCCATTTCAGGCCCATAAAACATCAGAGAAGACAGGAGTTGTTATCCCAGCCCTGACAGAAGTGCCTGGGGGGGGGAGACACAGCTTTGACTGCTCCCCACCTGCTCCAGGGCATTTCCAAACCTACCAAATCAGCTTCGCCCCCTGAACGTTTATTGCTGCTCTGAGACCCATAAACGGCTCCCAGCGCCGTCAAACCTTTATCTGGCTTTGCTCATTCCCGAGGAAAAGAGGAGCCCAGGCCACTTGCTCTCCACGTGGGGCATCCTGGGAAGTGTTTTCTCCCATCACGTGGGAAGACCCTCCCCAATCAAAAGGATCAGACCCCATTTACTGCCAGAAGAACAGAGAGAGGCTCCGCCCTTCACAGGGGGTCAACCCCAATTTATTTTATCCCAAACCTTTGACTGCCCACAAATATTTTAGTCCCTGCTAAATTTAGACGGGCCGGAATATTCCTGGCCGGCTTGATGAAAAACAATTATTTACGTTGCTATAAAAAGAACCCAAAGGCTCTCCAGATCCTTTCCCGGCTCCTCCTCCCCCCCGTGCCAGGGAGCAGGGATGGGAATCCCAGGCTAGTTTGGCTTCGTGGCAGGCAACTGTGTGTGCATTCAACACATTGCAGAAGGGCTTTGTGTGTCCCTCCTTTGCAAAGCCACAGGAGTGGACACCCAGCTTACATTCATTTTTGCAAGTTTGACCTTAAAAGTGAGGGCAAACACGCTTTTCCGTGGTTTTTTCCAAGGATTCTTCTCTTCCCCCTTTTGCCCCAGCCCACACACACGTACCTGGGAAGCTTGAAGTGAGGGATAAAGCTGTTCCCTCGGGAAGGGAGGCCAAGGATGGGTCCATCGCGTGGTTCTCCGGCCTTGAGGAGCTGCAGATCCTGGGAAGCACCTCCCGAAAAACCCAGGGATGAGAGAACACCCAAAGCACCAACTGCTGCCACAGGAATCCTCTCGGTGGGAACACTCAAATAAAACAGGGGACAGTATTTAAGTGCTGTGGAATCACAGAAGGCTGGAATGGTACAGGATGGAAGGGACCTTAAAGCTCACCCAGGTCCATCCCAGGGGCACCTCCCACTATCCCAGATTGCTCCAAGCTGGCCTTGGACACTCCCAGGGATGGGGCAGCCACAGCTTCTCTGGGCAACCTGTGCCAGGGCCTCCTCACTCTCCCAGGGAAGGATTTTATCCTAAAATCCAATCCATCCACCCCCCCCTTAGGGTGAAGCCATCGCAGGAAGGCAACGATGACAGAACGACACTCCCGTAAGAGGATTAAGTTTGTTCTGCAAATAGGAAAGCAAAGAACACTTGCACTTGTTACCCAGCTGAGATAGCACCGTTTTTGTAAACACATGGAAGCATTAAAAAGGAAAAACCCATCATTTTGTAACTCTGAAGCTTGACTCGAGCTCCGTCTCACCCTCTCAGGACCTGCTTGTCTCTGCCAAGCCCCTTCCTCGTGTTTCTGGCCTGACCAAATGAACAAAGCAGTCAATTAACTGCCTGAGAGCCCAAATGCCCACTGACTTCAGCAACAGCAAGGACTTTTCATCAGTTTATTATTGGCAAACCAGCAAACAGAGGGGAACAGAGGAAATGATGCATCACCTGACCTGCAACCCAGAGCGCAGAGTCTCCCCGAGACCCACCCAGGGCTGCCCCGGCTCCACCACTCCAGAAAAATCTCTTCCAGTGGCTCCCAGGTGTGGAGTTCATGCTTTACACAGACCTCTCAGTGATTCACCAGCAAACCAGACATTACATGTCACCACTAAAAGGTTGCAGGCTGGGATTTCTTTCCCAGCAGAACGAAACAGCCCCTCCACAAATCGTGACACAGGTACAAAACAAAGCCCTTGAAACAGAACTCCTGACGAGAGGAGAACCTTTCAATTCATTAATCAAATTAAAGAGGAAAGATGGCTTGGAGGAGAGGGAAGTTCAGGAAGTAACAGTCCTTTGCAAAGGTGATGGAGTCATCTCAAAATGAACCTGTCGAATTGAAAACCCCACCACGACAACGAGGCCCTGCTCCGCTCGGAATTCCATCACTTTATCAGGTCAGGTACCTCATTTCCACGGCAAGGAAGAAAACCTTCAGGCTGATGACAGAGTAGCACCCACCTCCTTCGCTGCAGGAAGAGTTTGGATGAGCGTGTGCTGGTGAGAGCAGGAAGGGGAAGGTCCTGACCCACACCCTGCAGGAGCTCTTGGCCTCGGGGGTCAGCCCAGAGGGACGACTGCAGAGCTCTTATTGCCAGGGAAGCCAAGTTTTTGGCAGTTATAAAACCAAATAATCGTGCCAGTTTACACATAATCGAGCTTTCAACCATGGCTTTAGTGCTGCAACCTCTGCACGCCCCGATGAGGGGAGAATTTCTGGAGTGTCTGGAGGGGGGGCGAGGAATTGCAGTGAGATCCAAGCAACGAAGACCAGAGGTGTGCAGGGCTAAGAATTCCCTTTCTCAGGCAGGTAAAAAAGGGAAAGTCACCTTTGAAAAATGGGAATATGCTTCCACAGTCCAAAAGCACCTGAGATCTTGTAGCTCCCACGGTGCCTTTATTGCTTCTGGAGGTCAGTGTGTTACACAGGTTTTGGTTGGTTGGGCTTTTTTTGTCTGCTAAAAAACACCAGAGTGACATACAATGATTTTGTTTGTTTGTTTGTTTGTTTTTTGGGGAGATATTAATAAATAAAAAACCCCACCTGATCTCTTTGAAACAGACCCCAGTGACCGCTGAGCTGCCACCGTTTGCAGCGTGGAACACCATCAAAAATACAAAAAGTTGGCAAAATGCACCCCCGCTTTCCCCCCCATCACCAGTGAAAAAAGAAAACCACCCAGATGAGAGAGAGAAGAGCCTTTCCCAGCTGTAACATCTGCTCGCTCTGCCTGGCTGACAAGCGCTGCTGCCGGGCTGCTCCTGCCAGGGCTCCCCGGGAGCAGGAGGGACATCAGGGAGGAGGGAACGAACCCAGGTTGGTTTTCTCCTTCCCTCTCCCCCCAAAACGCAGCTTTTGCAGGCAGCAAAGGGCCCAGGGGGGGCACCACCGGGGTCACCTCTGGCTGGGCACCTGGGGCAGGATCACGGGAGCGCAGGCGATCCCGGCGAAGGACTCCGGGAAGTGCAGGTCCCTCTCCCACTCGTCCGTCTCGGTGTTGTAGACCTGCACGATGCTGGTGACGTTGTTGAGGTGCCAGTTGTAACCCCCCACCACGTAGATCTTCTTCTCCAGCAGGCAGCAGCCGGCCTCCGACTGCCCGGCGCGCATGGGGCTCACCGTGGTCCACTGGTCGCTCTCGGGCACGTAATACTCCACGGCCAGCACGTCGAAGCACCGGTCCACGTGGTCCATGCGGCCGCCCAGGGCGTAGATCCTGCCGCTGGCGCTCACCATGGCGTGCAGCACCCGCGGCTCGTTCATGGGCGCCTTGAACTCCCACTGGTCGGCCGCGGGGTCGTAGCAGTGCAGCGCCTTCTTGTCCTCCACGGAGATGCCGTAGCCCCCCGAGATGTACAGCCTGTCCCCCACCGTGGCCCCGGCGTGGCCCCACGTCCTGCGCTTGAGGGAGCACACGTAGGTCCACTCGTTGTCCTTGGGGCAGTACTTCTCCACCGAGGCCAGGCTGCCCGAGCGGTTCCTGCCGCCCGTGGCGTACACCATGCCGCGCAGGACGTTGAGCTGGAACTGGATCCTGCTCTCCTGCATGGCCTGGATGCGCAGCCACTGGTTGAGGTGCGGGTCGTAGCGGTAGGAGACGTCCACGGCTCCCTCCCCGCTGCGGTACTGCAGCTGCTGCCCGCCCACGATGTAGACGAAGTTGTCCAGCACGGCCACGCAGGAGTGGCTGCTCCCAACCTCCATCTCCGTGAGCTCCTTGAACTGGCGGCCGCCCGGGTCGGGCAGGCAGTAGACCTTGCAGCTGACGGTGCGGTCGTTGTCGGTGTAGGGCGTGCCGCCGAAGGTGACGAGGGACAGCACGTCCGAGCGGATGGCCGTGCGCGGCGACTGCATCTCGTGCTGCCGGAACGGCAGGATCTGGTAGTTGAAGGCCTCCAGCAGGTACTGGCGGCACAGGACGTCCTCCACCATGATGTCCAGGGTCTGCACGCTGTCCACCAGCTCCGAGGACTTCATGAGGGGGAAGCGGATGTGGCACAGGACGCGGCTGGCGCTGGCGCGGCGCGCGGGGTCGTACTGCAGCCAGCGCACGGCGGCGCGGAACAGGTCGATCTCGCTGCAGCTCTTGAGCTTGTTGCTCTGCAGGAAGAACACCAGGCGCTCCAGGGGCAGGTGGAGGAAATCCTCCTCCTCGGAGATCTGCAGGAAGTGCCTGAAGGTGAAGGCGTCCACGGATTCCTTCAGGGAGGAGAGGCTGAAGGTGGTGGCCATCTGCCCGATGTTGAGGCACGTCTCCACGCTCATGGCAGACTTCAGGAACTCCTCGCACAGCTCCACCACAGGCACCATCTGGAGGAAGACGGCGGCTCCCAGCACATCCTGGATGCAGTCGAGGTCCAGAGTCACCTCGGCGCTGTAGGCAAAGTCTATGATGTGCTTCAGGCCCTTGGCAGACACACCTTTCAGCTCGATCACATCCTGGCTGGCCTCTCTCATCCCGCCCGTGAACATCGCCCTGTGGGTCAAGAGCACACAGACAAAAATCCCCCCCCCTTGAATAAATGATGTATCACTTCAGGGTTTTATTTTATTTAACATGTTGATTCTTTTAGGGAGGATGAGGAAGGGGGGTGTGGGGAATAAATCAAGGCTAAACCTCCACAAGGCAGGAGAAATCAGAGTGCAGTGACTTATACGAGGCTTGCAGTGCACTGAGGAGGAACATTCAGCTGTCAGAGAAGTTTTTCAATCCCCCTGGCAGCGGGAGGAAGAGCAGAGCACAGGACAAAGAGGCAGAGCTCCCAGAGCAGGACGTGAACGAGTATCATGAATCCACAACACTCAGCAACAGAGGGTCTGCACAGGGCTTGGGCCTGCAGGATTTGTGAGCACAAGGAAGACACCTGTGTCAGGAGGTCAGTGACCCCTGGCAGCAAGGCCTTCAGGCCTGTTATCCCACTGTGTCCCAGGGAAGGAGGAGATGGGTTAAACACTGTGGGTGCCCCGAGCCTTCTGAGCAGCTCTGCTCACCCAACAGAGCCTCCCCTCCAAGGTTCCTTCCCCACCACCTTAAAAAGGAGGAGCTGCAGCCCCTCCAGCAGCAGGGGGGGCTGACAGGGAATCACACACAACCAGGGAGAAAAGAGCTTTAGTTACAGCACAGCTGCAAGAACATCACTTGACCAGGCCACTGCAGAGATCAGGCCCCGGATCAGCTCCTTGGGAATTCCACAGGAAGCACATTCCATGCCAAGGACTGCGCCCATCCCTCCCTGAACCCGCCCTGGCAGAGCTGCAGCCCCCCCAGACAGGGGGCTGGGGGTGTGATGGGGGTGTAGCTGCACATCAGGGGGGAATTTCAGCCATTTACATCCCACTTCAGCGGGTTTTGTTACGTGTGGGGGGCTCGGGGGCAAAGGTTTGCACCCCGGAGTATCCAACAAGAGGGTTGTGGGGAAGGCAAAGTCAGGGCAGGAAGGGCTGGGCCATGGGGTGTCCCCGGTCCTGCCGCTGCACACACGGCCCAGCAAGGCCATGTCCTACGAAAGACCTTAAAGTTGCACATTCTGGACTGGTTTTTCCACCTTTTTCCGCTGGAAAGGTAAATCCCTGGTGTCATCAGAGCTCCCTCAGGAGCTGCACCGGCTCCAAGGTGCAAGTCAGGCAGAAAAAATGCTGAACAGACCCTGCATCAACACAGGAATAAAGGACTATCCTGGGAGCGCTGACAGAAGACAGGAGTTCCAAGTTTCCCGTCCAAACCAGGCTGGAAAACCTGCCCCCGTCCAGCACAAACCCCAGAAATCCTGAATGACCTAAATAAGGAAAATATCTGCACATGAAATCAGCTTTTCTGTAACCGAGTGACCAGGAATCCTGTTCCCAATTATTTGTCTGTGCAGCAGATGAGAGCATTCCGCTCAAATCCCTGCATCTCCCACGTCCCGGCCCTGATCCCTCGCCCCGGAGGACACGCGGACACGTGCGGGCTCTCGTGTGCGTTGTTGTTGTTGCCGTGCTGGAGACCAAAACCATCAACCAGAATGCAACTCCCTTAAAAAGTGTTACGGTTCTAAAGTGCTGATTACATAAATGCCTCGATTTCGCTCTCCCCCCCCCTCCCCTTCCCCGCAGAAGAAGGAGAGTGCTTCCAAAAGCTGGATTATTCGTTCCCCAGGACAACCTTCCTCGGCACCACAGAAGTCACAGCGAGAAACCCACTCAGGAATTATGTTTTAGGAGTGAAAACACCTTGGCAGTGGCCCTGCACCCAGCAGGGAGGAACAAAACAGTGCCACTGGCACCTGGTGGGGGCAGAGCAGTTCACTCAGGAGTGAATGCCCTGTTCTGCAGTTGGCTCACTCTGCGTTGATTTGGCTGCAAAAACTCATCTCAGGGTTTCAGTTTTCTACCTACAGGAGCTGGGACGATGCTCCCGGATCTCCCGGGGAGGTCACACCCACCCCTTGGTGCTCCCAGAGCCACAAGCACTGCAGACACATCAGCGTGGTGGTTGAAGGGAGCAGGAGTGTGTTTACAGTGGGCATCTCTCTCCATGGGATGAGTCATTCTGGAGCCCTCACTTCCCAGGCAGCTCATGCAGCTCCAGGGCAAAACACCTCCAACACCTGCCCAGGTGGGTTCAAGACCTGGCCTTGAACTTGTGCCTTGGCCCAGCAGCTGTAGCTGAGCAAACCTCATCTGTGTGCAGAGGGACTGATCCTGAACCTCCACCTGCCTGCAGGGAATCCCTGGGGCAAACCAAACCTCCGACGGGATCTGCGGGGCGGGAGGTTTGGGATTGCGGTGGGAAGGTTGGGGTGGGGGAGGACAGGGAAACAGCAAACCAACGGGAAAGGTACAAATGCCTGCTTCCCTCTCAGATTCTCACCTGAAATAGTCACTGCAGGCAGCCAAGACAACTTTATGAACCTGAAACACTTCATTATTTATAGTGAGGATGACATCAAGCAGCTGAGCCTGAGCTCGGAGCGAGGCCAGTCCCTGCAGCAGAGTGGTGCTGTGGCCAGGAGCAGAGAACGTGCATTTCAGGGTGCTGTTCTTGTCAGCCATGCTAAAAACAGAACAAGAGAGACAGGCTGGTGTGAAATTTAAACAGTTTGTGGTATTACCTACCCAGCGTGCCGGGGGAGACACCGCCACGGGCACCGTGGGCCGCAACGCCCGTTCCCAGCTCGGCAGCACCAGCACCTCACGCTGTGCTCCCTTCTCCCAGCACAAAAGAGACTTCCAGGTTTTGGAGGGATGCTTTGGCACTGCCACCCCCGTCCCTGCAGCGCACACGGGCTCCAGGGACCATCCAGCCATCCTAGAACCACCAAGGAACACTGGGTGTCCCCACACTGAGCCCGCCCTGACCTCGCCTTCAACCACCACACTGAGTCACAGCTGCTTGTTCTTCTCACCACCTTCCCTTCCTGCAGCTGCTGGAGCTGCTGCTGCCGCCAAGGCCGGCCCTGCCAGCCCGCTTTGCTCCTTCCCTCCTGCCTGACCCTCAGGAGAAGAGCAAAAGCAAACTATTGCACAGCCCTGGCTGCTGTAAATAACATCAACTGCTCGAGCTGCACTGTCAACAGTCCCCTCCCAGCGTAAATATTTCCTCGCTTTTCCCAGCGCCTCTCGCACATGTTCCCCAGCACACGGAGCAGCATCCCCAGCTCTGCTGGCCTCAGATGCACTTGTCAGTGGGAACGCTGCGCTGGGAGGCAGCGGGAGCCCTGCACGAGGGGAAGAGGCTGTTGGGTGCTCCCTGCTCCTCTGGAAACAGCTCCAGAAATAGCTGCGGGTTCCCCGAGCCCACCAAACTGGAGCCAGCAGAGGTGGGAGATCCCAAACTCATCTGCAAATTTAATCCAACTCCCAGTGGCTCTTCAGGATCTTCCCTCCTGGGAAGAAAATATTGCCCAGGGGACAATATTCAGGATGGGGGTTACTTTTTCAGAAGCATCCTGCTGTTTGGTGTCTGCCTTTGAAGGGATATTTTATGGAAATGCAACATAAAAAAATCCCAGGGAGATTATATATGGAAAGCTGCATGAGCTGCTCCCAAATCCACAGTGGGAGAGCACACCCAGGGATGCACTTCAAGGGTATTATTATTATTGTTGTTGTTATTATCTAGGTGGGATAGAACTGAGGAGGACGCAGCGTGCTGGGGCTGTGCAATCCCAGGGTCTGCTCCAACCCTCCCTCAGAGCTCGGCTGTGTCATCCCGGTTTTGCTCCAACCCTTCCCCCCGCCTCAGATCTTGGCTAAATAATCCCAGGGTGTGCTCCAACCCTCCCTCAGAGTTTGGATGTGCAGTCCCAGGGTCTGCTCCAACCCTCAGAGCTCCCGACCAAAACAGCAACGGCCACGCACAATGGCCCAAACAAACCCGGGAGGTCAGGGAGGAGTCAGGGAGATGGGATAACAAAAAAGGGGGATGTAAACAATCCTGGAACAATGAGGAACAATGGACAGGACTTGCTCCTTGCCTAACTTATCGGACTGCAATTTCCTGGAAGCTTTAAGGGGAGGCGAGTGAGGGGAAATCTGGGATGTTCATCAGAGCTGGGAGGGCAGCGCTCTGTGCCTGCAGCGGCTCTGGAGCTCGCTGGGATGCAGAGAGCAAACCTTGGCAGGCTGGTTCCAACTCCTCAGGCTTGGGAACGTGCCTCAGGATCCAGCCCAGCTCCTGCTGGGATGGCTGATAATGGTCAGCTGTGCCGCTGGCAGCACAGGTCCGAAATCCCTACCCTAAAATCAAAGTGTGCTAAAGAGTCCCAGATCAGAGCACCGAGTTATTCCTTGCTGGAATAAAAAGGATTAGCAGAAGAACAGTTGTTGACAAGACCTTTATCCATACTCTGTGAGCCAAGAATTGTCTGTCCACTCGGGCTCTTCCCATGGAGAAAGAGGGAAGAGCTTGGAGGGAGCGGATCCTCATCGTGTCAAACTCCTTTCACTCTCCTCCCTGGAACTTTGATCTGCTGTGGCAAGGAAATGATGTTCCCTCTGGACACAGAGCACCAGACACGGAGCAAACCCACTTTGCTCCAGGTTGGACAGGTGAATTCCACACAGACTCATCCGGGAATGGCAACTCCCGAGTTCCCTGTAACTTCATTACACTCCATCTGCTGCAAAAGTCTTCTCAGGGGGATTTCCCTCAGTGCTTGCTTCTGTGCTGGTTTCAGATACTCCTTTTGCCAGCCTTAGGGTCTCATCCCTGCAGGAACGCTGTCACTGTACCCACAGCCCTCCAAACAACGAGCTTTACCTGCACAAATATTCCTCTTTTTATTCCTCTTCCTCAATTAACTTTTACAGGCATTGGGAACGACCAGAGTGCAAGTTTGAGGTAAAGGAGGGGTGGGTCGACACATCTGTGTGGAATAAACGTGTTTGCACGTGAGGTTCATTTCAACAGGTAACTGTGAACAGCCACTCCAGGAAAAACTCCCTGTGCTGGTTCCTTTGTCTGTTTACAGATATAGAATAAAAGGATCCGATGATTACACAATACTCTGAAGAGGGGGGAGGAAAGGAAATCAAAAGAGAAGCATTGATAATGCCCAGTTTTCTTCAGCCTGGAGAGAGAGGGTGGAGAAAAAAAACAAAAAAAGGAGGATTTTAAGATGAACAACACAAACTGGAAACAAAACAAAACCCACACGAAGCAGGAGAAATGGAGCGAGAGGTTTACAGAAAACAAAGCGGGAGGAGGAGAGGTGAGAGAACAGCAAGGAGCAGTGTTTGCACGGCGGGGACAAAAAAGGGATCTGGGCTAAGAGCAGGCTTGGCTGGACACAGGCAGGGCAGGGAAGGAGCCCTGGCTCCTGCATGGAGTGCAGAAGAGGAGCAGCAGTCGGATGTCAGAGAGTAAAAAAGCAAAACAAAACCAACAACAGAAAAAAAACCACCAACCCTGAGCACAAAAGGAAGCCTTGAACGTGTGCGAGTGCCTCTGGGAGGCTGCCCCTATCTCAGCCCGGATCTCCCCAGGCCCCCGGACTTGTTGCTTAACAATTTGTTACAGCAGAAACAGCCTGGCAGACAAGACTTGGGAAGAGCTGCATCTCCTCCTCCCCGGAACACGCCTGGGAGATAAAAGCCTTTCCTCGCACACACCGGTGAGAAAGTGTTTATTCCGCTTCCCTTTCTGCGGGAGGCAGGGCTGGAGAGCCTCTGGAATTTTCCTTTGTCCTCGAGTGAGGTCCTTTCCTTCTTGGAGCAGGGCTCAAGCGTGGGGCTGCTCCCAAATCACATCCCCATCAACGTCCCAGGGGCCTCCTGGACATCCCAACGTGTTTACATGACTGGGGCCTCTGACATGGGGTATGTTGGTATAGAGGTGGCTGTGCAGGAGCAGAAATCCCACTTTCCACGTGGAAATGGCTGCAGCAGTGAAAGGGATCTTTATATTGGTGTGACTGCAGCCCTCGCACACGAGGCAGCTGGAATTCCACGGGCACGTCGATTCCCAAGGTGATGCCTTTTGGGCAGCAGCCTCAGAGGCTCTGATGACACCCCCTGGCACCCCAGTTCCACACAGGGACTGCCAGGGAACGAGTAATGGGATTGAGGATTTGCCTCCAAGCCGCTGCTCCGAAGCCAGATTGCTTTCAATCCTCTCCGGTCACCGCAGGATAGAGCTCAGCATGGGGTGCTGGGGGGAAAAATCAACCCAGAACCCCAACCCCAACACTGTGGATGGGCTGTGGAGATGTTCCAGCAAGGGTTAAGGGAGTGGCTGCAGCCAGACAGCGGGCAGGGAAGGCAAACAAGCCCAGAAATCCTCCTGCTGCTGCACCTGGGGCAGGAGCTCGCCCTCGCCCAGAGCACACTGACCACAGACAGCTTTCTGAGCAAGCACTTTGGACCAGAAAGGCATCTGGACACCCAAGAGGCCCCTGAAGCTGAGGGGCTGGGAGATTTGAAGGGCCACACCTCAGGAACCAGCCCAGGCACAGAGAACACCCCCGAGAACAAGCGGCCCCTGCCTCCTCCGTCCCCCACGGCGTCACGTGGAAGCCAAGACGCCTCTCGAGCTAATGAATCATTTTTACCAAATCTGTACTGATGATTAAAAACATCAAAGCTGGAATTAAAGGCTTACCAGGCATGAGTTCGTATTTCAGCATGTTTGCAACCACTGCACAAGTGGAGAGAATTAGAGCAGGACAGATTGTAACATTTCGGTGATTGAATTAAGGAGTGGGGAGGGGAATCTTCGGCTGCACGACTGTCTGGTGGTCTGGTGGTGTTCTTCCTCTCCTTGTACAGCCTGCTTCTCCTTGGAAGGAGGGATGCTTTGGTGCTCTCCCTCCCAGTTCAGCATCCCCACGTTTTCCCCCTTTTTGGGGGCAGGTGGTGCTGGGTGATTTTTCATCCGGGACAAACTCGAGGGGCTTGGCGGAGTTCCCGAGCGGGGCAAACTTCCAAGAGCCAAACTCTCCCCATAAACACGAGCCCCAGAGGTGGGACCCTGCTGGGAATGGCTGGGGACAACACAGGAAGGAGGAAAACCAGCAGGATTTGTCTCTGTGTGTGTGTGTGTGTGTGTTCACATCCATCAGGGTGTGCAATGGCACAGCTCTTCCATGGCTGGACAAAAGCTTTGGGATTATTGCAAAACAGCCACCGAGGCACCTGCAAGGGATTTTTTTGTGGTGAGAGAAGCAGAACTACACCACAAAGCTGGGGAGTAACTTTATTTAGAACATAAAGTATGAATATTAAGGACCTTCTCTAAGAACCTTTGACAGGCAGCATTATAGATATTTTAATAATGCAAATCATTTAATGCCTTTAGTTTCATGCCTGAGTAAAAAAAAAAAAACACATTTAGATTCTGATTTTTAAACTACAATTAAGACACTTAAAATCAAAACAAAAGTCAAACTCCCTCAGATAAGTCACTGGTAGCCATGGTGACTGCAATATTTCAGATCCTCAGGCTTTATATCACATGCCCAAAGGATGAAAATGAGTTTTCAGCACTCCACACTAACAAATGCTACGTCGGGGCAGAAAGGCTGAACCCTTCACTGCGGATCTGCTGCTCCACAG